AAATATATTACCAAGTTATCTAGATATTAAAAAAGACCTATTATATTTTCGGTCAAATTTATATGCAGAATTGGATGCGTGTAAGCGTAAAAATATTTGCACCAAAGTTCTAGAAATCATGATCAATTAGCTGAGTTCTCGATGGATATACACTTGTTATGTTACACAGCTCATATTTACATCTGCAAGAATGCGAGTTTTATGTCAATTAGCAAGTAATTATACATGAGGAAGATGCAATTTCAGCCATTCTACAGGCTTGTTCCATCGCTGTCGACATAGCGAAGGGATTCTTTTAAGTTAGAGTTATTTATTATAAAATAATTTGAAAGAATAAATATTCTGGTAGATTTAAATGATTAGACTAGATGTACCTGCCAATGGAGTTGGGTTGCAAAGCCATCAACAGCGGTATCAAGGTTGCAAGTTTTTCGGGCCGAATAATATCCTTAATATGTTTCCCATATAATTGTTTTACTTCACTATTTACAAATTGGTGTCTAAAAACAAGTAAATAGAGGGAGCACTGACCTGGTCGCGGAGCAGGCAATTCAGGGTCTTCCAGTTCTGGAATATCGTGTTGGTCTATTACTTGCATTTCAATATGTTCTCCTATGGGGAAGAAAATGAAAGAAAAAAAATAGCATTACTAACAACTTTTCCATCTTTTCTTTTCTCTGATTTACACAAAAAAATTCCCAGGTAGAGAGGGGATATTTCATGTATAATTACATTGAGAAGAGCTAAATTTTTACCCTCTTCGTTGATAGCATGTGCATGTTCATTTCCAATTTGTCCCTGCTGGTCATTTTCTGCTTCTTCTATGTTATAAAACAACCAAAAACAGGGAATAAGTCCATGTCAGACTTGCCCAAACATTTATTACATAAAGATCATTCCGCTACAAGTTAGGTTCGTATTAATCTTCTTACCTTGAAATTGAAGACAGAGGTTGATTCTTTTATATTTTTATAATAATATTATTTACAAATTTCCGATCACATTCTTATTCAAAAGGGTTCAGCGAATAGCTTTAATTTGCTTCGGCATTCCTAATACATGGCTTTGAAGATACTAACCTCTGCAGATCGAACTGAAATAATGATTTCTTACTGGGTCGTCCCCCATTAAACGTTCTTTGTCCCCATTTCTGATTGCTTTTCGTACGCCTCAGGTGTAAAAAATTTAGCACAAACTATTGAAAGGAAACTTGTTTGTCATCACAAAATTAGTTAAACCTTAAAGTTCTTTTTATTTTGAGGTGGGAAGCACCATTATTGTCGTGAAATTTGCTATTTTAATAATGGAAAACTGTACCTTCTTGATTTTGTCCTTTGCAGAAAATAGATCGAACATTAGACCACAACTTCCTCAGTTTAGGTTTCAATATAGCTTGCACCTGTACATTTGAAATTTACGGAGAAGTTTGTGTAGGACTTTCTAATAATCTCTTTTAAATTTAAATAGGTCTCCATGGTCATTGTTTATTATGTCAGTCGTCACAATTACAAAATTAAGTTGCCAGCCTGCTCTGACACGAAAGCAAATTGGAAAATGGCAGTCATGTCCTATTTAAAAGTGATAAAAGATAAAACCTGTTACCTGTGGAGTAGAAAGTGTATACAGCAATGGGTTGACAGCTGAGTTGATCGGCAGAGCGAACACAGCAATCCATACTGCCAGATCGCCAGGTGGATCAAATGTTTTCTCGACGTGAGACTTGATGCCGATAGCAATGATTGGTATCCAACAGAGGAAATCGGTCAGAATAATGAAGAAGACTCTTTTGGCAAGTGCTCTTTCTCTTTTGGCCTGCGCACTTTGTGCTCTTGCTTGTATCTCACGAACAGTTCCATGTGCACCGAGCCGTCTACTTGACGACCATGATTTCAACAAGATGGCAATATAAGCCACCATAATGAAGATGAAAAGAGA